AAGCTTCTATCCTTGATCCACTCCAGTCTGGCTTTCGCCCGGGCTATGGGATGGAGACGGCACTGGTTGCCCTTACTGACAACCTCCGGAGGCATCTCAATCAAGGCAGTGTGGCGGCACTGCTGTTGTTAGATCTGTCAGCCGCGTTTGACACGGTCGACCACCAGTTGCTGACCCACCGTCTCGCCAACATGGGGATACAGGAGCTTGCTCTTCAGTGGCTTGCCTCATTTCTCCAAGGTCGGGGACAGATGGTGGCGACAGGGGAATGGCAGTCCCAGAAGCACCCACTTGAGTGTGGTGTGCCTCAGGTGGCAGTGCTCTCCCTGATGTTGTTTAACATCTACATGCACCCCCTCGCCCACATTGCCAGGAGGTATGGGCTGGGTTATCATCAATATGCAGAATGACACCCAGCTCTATCTGATTTTGGGTGGCTGGTCGGGCTCTGACCCAGAAGATCTGAACCAGGCATTACAGGCCATGGCTGCGTGGCTCAGGCTGAGCCGGCTGAAACTAAACCCAGCAAAGACGGAGGTCCTGTGCCTGAGTTGGCATGTTTCGGGGTTAGGGATCCCTCTCCCGACCTTTGATGGGGTGCCGTTGGTGCCAGCGTCAGAGGTTAGGAGTTTGGGAGGGCTCCTGGATCCCTCCTTAACAATGGAGGCCCAGGTGGCAGCCACTGCCAAATCTGCATTTTACCATCTTAGGCAGGTTCGGCAGTTGGTTCCCTTCCTCGACCGCGGGGACCTGGCTACAGTGATCCATGTGACGGTCACCTCAAGGCTGGACTACTGTAACACTCTCTACATGGGGCTGCCTTTGTTTCAGATCCGGAAGCTGCAGCTAGTGCAGAACGCGGTGGCCAGGCTGTTGATGGGTCTCCCCAAGTGGGAGCACATCCAGCCTGGGCTGAAAGCACTGCACTGGCTGCCAATAGTGTACCAAATCCACTTCAAAGTGCTGGTTCTTACCTTTAAAGCCCTACATGGCCAGGGTCTGACCTACCTGAGGGACGCCTTTCCCCACATATACCCCCAAGAGCACTTCGGTCAGGGACACAACATCTCCTGGTGATTCCAGGCCCCCGGGAGGCAAAGCTTACTGCAACTAGGGCCAGACCCTTCTCAGTGGCGTCCCCCACCTGGTGGAACAAGCGCCCGGAAGACATCAGAGCCCTGCGGGACCTTATGCAGTTCCACAGGGCCTGCAAGATGGAGCTCTTCCACCAGGCTTTTATATAGGGGCCGCCACTATCACTACCACCACTATCAATGGTGGAGATAACAACGGGGTTAGGAGAGGTCCCCGGAAGATCTGCCATGATCTTGCATGGCACTGATACCACTGGACTGGCCTTGGACCACCGACAGGACAATATCACCCCAATGAAAGGATTGATACCATCTTCGGAGACCATCTTGTTTGTATGGAGCCCTTTATTCTTGTTTTGTTGTTATTTAATGGTTTTACTGTTTTATCCTGTTTTTATGTATGGGCTTGTGCCCTCTTGTAAGCTGCCCTGAGCCCGCTCGTGGGGAGGGCGGGGTAAAAATGTTAATAAATAAAAATAAATAAATGAGATATATCTGATACTTTTTGCATTGTTTCTAATTTTGTAATTCCAGTCCTGTTGTATTGCTTATTAGATGCCTCATGCCAATAACACAAGTACTTAACTTGTGGAATTCATTACCACAGTACATATTGATGGCCACAAATGGAGTTGACTTTAAAAGAGGGTTAGACAAATGCTATCAGTGACAGTTATCCATGATGACTAATGTTCAAAGACAATAAAAATCTACATGTTAGTGCTGGATAGCAGCAACAGAGAGATGCCTTGTTTTCTATGCCTTATGCCCCTCTGGTTGCTCACTGTGTGAATCAAGATGCTGGACTAGACAGACCAGTTGTGTGATCCAGCATGGCTCCTCTAATGTTGTTATCTAGGGAACAAGACACATCTGTATCCTTTGGTATTACTAATGAGTAGATAGCTCTTGTGTTACAGCTCTCCTGGACTCCTTGGGCAAAGCTGTGTATGGCACAACAGGACATTTATGATTGGATGTCCTAATGTCGTTTTCACTCTTGTTTAGCCCCATGGCTCCAAATTATAATTGAACCATGGCACCAGGGGAGGAGATGTCTGAGTCTCTCACAAAAATGCAACACCGTTTTCTCTATCTAAATATCCCCATAGAAGCTGCTGTTTACCTGGCGAGATGAAATACAGAAGCCCTTTACAGCTAAAAAAGTGTTGGGGTTACAATTCTGGATCTCTCAAACGATATAGGGTCATAAGCGTTGTTTACTGAGTCTGTCTCCATGATAGGAAGTTAGTTGTATTCACAGGCCAGGTGGTATGCTGTCAGTATATCTCATTGCTTTATTTATCTTTAGGAAGACTGACCTGACTGCACACGCAATCCAAGTCCTTGCTTGGAGTGGCAGTATTTTAGGAGTGCCAGTGCAACAGTTTGTGTTCCAAGGTGTGCCTGTAACATCGCTGAGACTGTTGGCTCATGTATGGCTGTATGTGTAATCTGAGCACGCTACCCCAGTATGTTGACAATGCAAGGCATTCTAGGATGGACCTCTTACATCATTTGGCGTGGTTAGGTGGCACTGCAAAATCTCTTTTGGTGTAGTGGCTAAGTGCGTGGACTCTAATCTGGGAGAACTGGGTTTGATTCTCCACTCCTCCACTTGCGGCTGCTGGATGACCTTGGGCAAGCCATAGTTCTGTCAGCTGTTCTCTCAGGAGCAGTTCTTGAAAGAGCTCTCTCAGCCCCACCTACCTCACAGGATGTCTGTTGTGGGGAGAGGAAGGGAAAGGAGATTGTAAGCCGCTCTGAGACTCCGAGTGAAGGGCGGGGTATAAATCCAATCTCCTCCTCTTTGGGAAGACTTTTACTTAGTTTAGTCTCTGTCCAACTCTTTTCAAGAAGTCAGAGCAGAAAATGGTTTAAAAGGAAACATGCATCTAAAATTAGTGATGCTGCTAAGTGTGAAAATAATGGGCTTGCAATGCAAATTTACCCTGCTTTGTATACTCTTCTTTTTTATGGGTTGATTTGCCCTGAAATTATTACTCCATCCTCTGTTACAAAATGGCAGTGCTGAATTTCATGTATTTCATCAAATATGTCTTTATGGAATATGGTCCACTGTAGCCACACTTTCTTGTACCCCTTTAGTTGTATGAGAAAGCTTTTGCGCAGGTGGCTGAGGTTTGGAATCCCCCCCCCCCCAATTCCCTGTGCTGCATTAAAGCTTCAGAGTTGAAAAAAACAGGGGAAGCTGCTGTTAGGGACAAAAAAGAGTGGAAACTTTCTGTATGCCTAGAGTCAATGAGATACAAGATGAAAGGCAATGGCACAGCAATATGTCAAAACAAGAAAAAAATGCATGTGCCCAAATTTAGCATCAATGATCAATACATTTAATTAGACATATAAAGTAGAACTAATTTTCCAAAAACAGGTAGAAATTCACTGGTGAACTTGAATACAAGTAGAAATTCACAGTTGGAGTTTTGCTATGCAACTTATGTGAATTCCAGAAAGTCCTTAATCTGTAAGAATGTAGTAGTGTTTTGCCAACTGACTTGACGAGCCCCCAGTTCTAAATCCATTTCAGTGATTTTTTTTCAAAAATCATGCTGGATACAGACATCCATAAAGCATATTCAAATGCAGCAATCTTCAGTGATTCTTTCATAAATACAATAACATAATACCATCAACATACAAGTAACTGCACTCACAATACTGTTGTCAGGCTTCCCAGTCAAAACACTCAGCAACATTCCTTCAGAAGTTTTAGTTTATTGAGAGTTAGTACTTGAGACACCATGAACTCTTGTGTCAGGAATAGCGGGATGAAGGGTAGCCTGTACAGTTATGCCCCTTACAAACCAGCCTCCCTGATGCAGTGAACCCAATAGGCAAGCACCTGTAAACGCGGGCAAAATACAGCAGATACATTCCCAGCAGGAAAAGCAGACCCGGCTGAGCCGAGCCTTCAAGGACACCAAACAGATAACAGAGCGCAGTAGAGGAGATGAGGGGGGAAGGGAGGCTGAAGCCAAGGAGAGGGAGCTGTGCACCCTTCACATTCCAGACCATGGCAGCATTAGCTGACAACTGTAAGCAAAATTCAATATAAAATATTTCCAAATTTTATATTGAATTTTGCTTACAGTATTGTGAGTGCACTTACTTGTATGTTGATGGTATTATGCTATTGTATTTATAAAAGAATCACTGAAGATTGCTGCATTTGAATATGCTTTATGGAGGATGTCTATATCCAGCATGATTCTTGAAAAAAATTACTGAAACAAATTTAGAACCGGGTGTCCGTCGAGTCAGCTGGCAAAACACTACTACATCCTTTCAGATTAAGGACTTTATGGAATTCACATAAATTGGGGCAATGTTCCCTCTAAGCTGAATTAGTGTGAGCTAGCTCACAGTTTTTTAGCCTCTGGCTCACACATTTTTGTCTTAGCTCAGGAAAGATAGCTCCAGAATGAACTAATTTAAGCAGTAGCCAAATCACTCGCTCACAACATAGAATTTTTGCTCACAAGACTCCACACATTAGAGGGAGCATTGGTTGTGTGGCAAAACTCCACCTGTGAATTTCTACTTGTTTTAAACTTCACCAATGAATTTCTACCTGTTTTTGGAAAAATTGTTCTACTTCTACCTGTTTTTGAAAAATTTGTTCTACTGTATATGTCTAATTAAATTTATTGATCATTGATGTTAAATTTGGGCACATGCATTTTTTTTCTTGTTTTGCCTAGAGTCAACAACTTTTCAGTTTGGGTTGTAACTTGTGTTTTAACATTTTTAACTAAACCAAGCTAGACTTAACAAATCTGTCCGATTAATCCCACAAGTAGTACTGAGATGAACATTTGAGCCAAATGATTAATTTCTTCTCTGTTTTCTCTTTCTCTCTCGGTCTCTTTGCTGCCCCTACAGAGTTGCTGGAACTGTGGCCGTAAAGCTAGTGAAACCTGCAGTGGTTGCAACACAGCACGATACTGTGGCTCATTTTGCCAACATAAGGACTGGGAGAAGCACCATCACATCTGTGGACAGACACTTCAAGCCCAGCAGCAAGGAGAGACACCAGCAGTCAGCTCCTCAGCAACATCCAATAGTGGAGCCGGGAGCCCCATTGATACACCACCAGCAGCTACTCCTCGGTCAACCACTCCTGGAACCCCATCCACCATAGAGACAACTCCTCGCTAAGACTGAACTCAGAACTTCTTAAAAACAAACACAAATACAAAAAAAAAAGATTCCTCATCCTCAGAAGCTCAAATTTTTACTGAACTGACATATTTCAATACTTTAAAAAAAGAACTTATATACTGTATCTTGAGGTAGACGTAAAATACAGAAGGCCAGTAACGGGTCATAATGACTTCTTCTGGATAACAAAGATATCTTTTCTTTAGGAAACTGAAAAGAGCAGATAATTTAACACAAAAAAATGGTAGATTTGACCTCCTCCCTGTTATTTTCCAGTAGCTGGGATTTTAAACTAGATGACCTCATTAACAGATGCTTTACCAAACAGCAAACCAAGAGATTGCTAATTGCTGTTGAAAGCAAAAATGCTAATAATAAAGTTCTTGTTCTTTATAACAATAATGGAATTTTTTTTAAACATGAGAGAGAGAGAGAGAAAGAAATAAAGGAAAAAATAAACCCTCAAGGGCATGAGCATTGGATAAAGCAGCAGACATTTTAATAAGAAGATGAATAGCGTCCGTGGGTTACTGACTGAACTCTGAAGACCTGCATCGAAACACGCAGATGTGCAGCAGATTGGAAAGAGACACAGATGTTCATTTTTTTCTTGTTTCTGAATGAAATATAATAATATCCAGGTCAACAGAATTAAAAATGGAAGATGATTTGCAGTGGGATGTAGGACATAAAACAGCAGCAAAAGAAAAAAAATATTTTTGCCATCATACAAACGGCTCCTCTTCTTTTCTGGTTTTTGTTTGGTTGTGGGTTTTTTTTTCCTTTCCTTTTAGTACAGAAATAAGGACAGAGCCTGCAGTTAATTAGCATTTTGGCAGCAGCTACATCAAGGAGCTGCCTCCCCCCTCTCAAAAAAAAAAAAAGCTTCAAAATTTCCTTTACTTTTTGCAAGGTTCCGTTTAGTAAGACAATCGGGTCTGTTTCCACCTCATTCATTTTTGTATTGATGATGCTGATAATATGGTGACTCCAGCTCCAGAACCCTTCCAAATCCTTTCCATCCCATCCTGTCTGGGTTTTTAATTAAAAAAAAAAAGGTTTTAAAAACGGGGAAAAAAATCTAGTAGTTCTATTGGTGTTAAAACACTTCTGTCCTGTGAGGTTTCCCAATGGTGTTTTTTCTTGTAAATGTGTTGGACAAATGTGAAGATGCATTGTAGTTAACCATGCTCACATTTAGTCTTCTTTATTACTAGTAGGTGAGAGACCTGTAACTTTCTATGCTGCTTTTATATCTGTATGTAGTAGTGATATTTCTCTAGTAGTTTAAAAAAGAGGAAAAAAATCCCCCTTTTTTAATTTGTTTGTTCTCAAGAAAAGAAAAGGGAAAAAAGCGATCTTTCGGAGCTGCTATTTCACTCTGTTATAGGGGAAAAAAATTTTTTTTTGAAAACTAGCATGCTTCCCGGAATGCTAACATATTGGTGTTTTTGTAAGAGGGATGTACATAAATGTATTTTGCACTGTCACAATGACTCCCTAGGCATGCTTTTTTTTAATTATTGGGCAAACTCTTTTTAAAGATGCTAGAGCCATTTCACCGAGTTTATCTGTAGGATAGAATAGTGGTGGGTTATTTTCTTATTTTCCTTTTTTTGTTCTTTGGGTTCTGTTTTTGTTTTTGTTTTTGCAAAATTCACTAATAGGGATGTTTTTATAAAAAAAAATAAAACAGGCTATCATAACTTTTTAAGAATAAGCAGTGCATGAATATCACGGTAAGGTTGTTAGGTATTTCTGATTTTACAAAAGAGAAATAATAATGATGATGATGATGATGATTAGAGCTCCATATGCTGAGGTGTAGATTGACAGCTTTAACACTGCTGAATGCCAGGTTATATTACAGTATTACTACTACTATTACAAAAAAAAAAAAGGGAAGTCAGCCAAAGACTGATCTGATGGACCAAAATCTGAATTCTGAAAAGCACCATTTTTACTTTCCAAATGATCAGCAGGTTAAACATGTCCAGCAAAGGCATAGCGTACACTCACTTAACCCTTCGTTGTCCAAGGTCCAGGCCAGAAGTACTTGTTAGTTGTCAGTCACCCAAGAGATGGTTGTGTGCTTTTCAGCCATGTAAGCATAATGCAAATGTGCAATGAACACCACTGCAGAAGGCATTTCTAAGTGTTGTGTAGTCTTAATCCAAGCACTCTCAAAGAGAGCAAAGTGCCAGTTTTGTGAGGTTTACATAAAATTGGATTGCTGGCTTTGATATGGGGAAACTCGTGTTTAGATCCCACATCAGCTATGAAGGTCATTGGTGGCCATGGACAAGCCGCTGTCTGTCAAACCTACCTCACAAGATTGCAGTGAGGCTTACTGTTGTTCAGTGCCTAGCTATTTTTAGGTGCTCAACAAATAACAAAGCCCTGACTTAGATGGCCTAGGCTAGCCTGATCTCATCAGACCTCAGAAGCTAAGCAGGGTCCACCCTGGTTAGTACTTGGATGGGAGACCACAAAGGAA